CCTTCTACTATGAAAGATATTTTAAAAATACAAACACTGAGAACAGTCCCAAGGTTAAGTAGTGATGTTCAGGTTTTTTAAAGTTTTATTTGTGAAATATAAATGGCATATATATGTACATAAAACATAACTGAGCAGCTTAATAAATTATTGTAAAGAGAATACTTTTACACCACCATCCAGGTGAAGAAAAAGAACACTGTAAGCACTCCTGGATGTCCTACACTTGCCTCTTCATAATCACAACCCTTGACCAAAAGTAATTCCTATCCTTACTTTATGGTTATCATTTCCTTGTTTTGCTTAATAGTTTACCTAAGTTTGCATCTCTTCATACTATAGTTTAGCTTTGCCTGTTTTTTGAACTTTATTTAAATAGAATCACCCACCATGTATTCTTTTATGTCTGGCTTCTTTCATGCAAACATTAAATTTGTGTGATTCATATATGTTATGTATACATGCAGTTTCTTCATTTTCATCACTTTGTACTGTTAACATTATACAAATCTCAAAATATACTTATCCATTTTACTGCTGATGAACATATGGTTTGAGTTTTGAGCTATTGTGAATAACGTAGCTATCAATTTCTTGTACATGTCTCTAAGTGCACAGAAGCATACGTAAATATATTGGCTATACATCTCAGAATAGAATTGCTGAGTCTCTAAATATGCATATCTTCAAATTTAGTAGACGATACCAAAGTTTTCCAAGGTGGTCATACCCTAGATATTATTTATAACATGCTTATAAATATGAGAATTTGTTCAAACTCTGAGTCATAGTCTACAGGCAAGTCTGCAAACTAGTTCCAGAAAGTGCTGTCACTGTGACTATGAATCACACTGATGAGCATGGTCCCAGCTATATGGTGAGAAAATCCATGTTTATTTCCATGTCTGTCTAGCTAGGTTTCCAAATAGATAGATGATTCCATCAGGTTGAATCAGGATGGATTACAAAACTATTTTATTGCTGTACAAGTATAATCAGTCTGAGTAACTGACAGGCCAAGAATAGTACCTCAAAATTCTGTCTGACCTGGGACCAGAGCCCAGCATACCTAATGAGGTTTTACAATTCCTGAGTATTGGAAACTAAAGATCTAGGAGACAGTAACATGTGCAATAAAACTTTTATCCTTCAGTAGCATGTCAGTGGGACAAAGAAACATATATTCAAAAAGTCCATTCAACTTACAACTTTGCCAAAATACATCTGGATAACCAGAGGACAATTAAAACCATTTTAAAGGACATTTGATGTCACCTGGCTTGAAAAAACAGTAACTATTATACAAATCTTAAATTGCCTCTTGACCACTTAGTGAAAGAAGGGTTTTCAACATGTTACTTTTTTCTACTGTGCCCTTTTATGTGTTTATTTTAAAAATTAGGGCCATTCTACTTGACCTATTTGTAAATTAGTTCTACAAAGTAGAACACTCATAGATAATACAAGTAATCACACAGATAGAGTCAACTGTACCTACATGCTCACAAAAAGCCAGGAATTTAGGAAGCTATGTAGAATAACTACTAGTGGAACTGCTACATTGTGACGTGGATGGAAATCACAGCACAACCCCTCATTTCTCTGACCAAAGACAGTTCTGTCATATCAAGCATTTAAATAAATCTCAGCACTATAAAGTAATTATGTGTCAGAAACTGCTACTACTGGATTTGTAATTAGGTGAATTATATTTATAATTATAATTAGGTGAAATTGCCAGGGTTATAGTGAAAAAGGAAACTTGTTTACTCATCTTCATTTATAAATGGACATTTAGAGCAATTACAAATCCTGCTAAACATACAGTTCATTTAAAAAATCAACTTAAAAGAGATCCATCTTTGCCAAATTTATAATTTATAAGCTTTGAAAATATGTCTCAAAAGGGAAGATTTTACCAAAAGAGCATCTCAATGCTCATTCTTTACTAGTGGAATAATGCTGGTTGCCTCTCTCTATATATACGAAGCATTAGCTAATTTTTAAATAAACTACTTGCTTACAAAATATTTCCATAAAATATTCAAGCTCCTCTGGTCTTCTGTCAAGCTTCCTATGAATGTATCAAAAATTTTAGTAGCCTAACACATAAAAGAATACATTTTACATGCTACTCTCTGTGAACAGCAGAATAAACAAATAGCATCATTTAAACTTAAGCCAACCCTATACTAATGCTTACTGCTTACTACAGGTCTGTGAGAGTGTTGTAACTAGGCTGTAAACCGTGGGTTCCAAGCTTTTCTCAAAAATAATTCTAGAAACTATTCATCTAGTAGCCCTTTTATTTATATCCCAAGAGAAATTCAATCCTCCAGTCACTGTGCTACACACATACACACACGCAAAAGAAATTACGTATTCAGTGATTGACTGTTCATCCTATGTTGCCCCATCTTTCAAAGTAAAGAGGTACATACATAAAAAAAATTGAAAGGGATTTGGTTTGGTTGGGAAACTATACCAAATAAATTTTAGGTAGCTAATGTCTTAACTCACTAATCTGAAAGGCTTCCTCTTTCTATTGACGTGTCCACATATGGGACATAGCATAATAAATGCTTTACTGCCCTTTAAAGCTCAAACCTAATATCTGTTCACCTCTTCAGAAATAACGCAGTGCTGTTAGAAAAAGTGACATGTTAAATATATTTCAATATTTCTACACTCTTTCAATGGTAGATATTTTACCAATAAAGTGAGGGTATAAGATAAGAAGGAAAGATACTCTATACTGCACTAAATACTGATTACTCTTTCCTGAAAGGAGTAAAAACAAGTTGGAAGCCACTGCAGGCAGGCACACAATGTCCCTCTTGGTGATCATTATTCTCCACTGGATTACTGCAGTTATCTACTTGCTTGACCAGTACATATATGTCAAAATGATCATCTCAAAATATAATTCAGATCATGTTACCATGCTGCTTTAAAAACCTCCAGTGGCTTCCCATTGCAATTAGATTAAAATTCAGACTCTTTTAGTACTCTAGTGGGCCCTCCATCATCTGGCTCCTGCTCACCTCTTTGAATTCATTCCTTAACCAGCTTATGCACTAGGATGCAGCTACACTGTTTTTTTTTTTTGGTTATTCAGTGAGACCAAGCGTCTTCCTCTTCCTGAAATAGACCTTCTTTGTTCCCCAGAACTTAACATGGCTGACTCCCTCTCATCATTAAGGTCTCACCTGAACTGTCATCTCTTCAAAGGGGCTTAGTTGATCATCCTTATTAAAATATGGTGCCCACAACTCCTACCTCAACTCACTCTCTATCCCACTTTTTCTTTGGTGTTCTTCATAGTACTTATTTCTATCTAAAATTTTATTATTTATTTATTTGTTTGAATGTTTATTAGCTATTCTTCCCACTGGATTATACACATTGAGGGCAGAGAATTTTTCCATACTGTTCACTGTTATATCTCCAGTGCCTAAATAGCACCTGGTATGTAGTAGGTACTCAATAGTAAATAACATGTATTGGATAAATGATTGAAATATTTATGTTCGGTTAGTACAGTCAACCTGTGTTAATGCGTAGTCTCTCTTTTACATTTGGCAAAGCCACTAGGCTGTGATCTCTCCCACTTCTTAATCTTCTGAGCTTCCTGAGAGCAAAGGCCATATTGTACTTATTCCTACATCTCCACTGCCTAGCCTCGTGCCTGGTACATAATAAGTGTTCAATAATTACTTGATGCATCAACCTGCTAAAGAAATGCATGCATAAATAAATGGATGGATGGATGGATGGATGGATGGACGGATGGAGGGTTTTGATTTTTTTACCCAATATGGTCCAAGCAAGAATGGCTCCTGCTATTGCAGTTTAGAAATGCAGCCTAGTGCATACACGGAAAGGAGGGTGTAGTAGCCACTATTGCTACCCTGATCAGATTCCTTTTACTCAGGGTTTCTCAAGCCTGGCACTATTAACATTTTGGACTGGATAAATATTTGTTGTAGACGGGTCCTTTGCATTATTGGGTATTTAGAAGCATCCCTGGCCTCTACCCACTAGATGCCAGTAGCAACACCACTACCACCCCTCCCCCTGAGTCTTGATAATCAAAATTATCTCCAGACATTGCCAAATGTCTCTCAGGGACAAAATTACCCCCAGTGAAAAACTACGGCCCTTTATCTGTAGTATATCCTTCTCCAAGCTGCTATGAGTATTAGCTGCTAACAAAAGCATCCTTCTCCAGAGAAATGTCCTCTGCCTGAGGGAGTTGCCTCTCTGGGAGGATATGCCCTCCCTCCAAGGATAGCTTTAGACACTGAATGAATGATGAAAGAGGAATACATGTGAGTCTCTTTCCCTCTAGGTGGAACAACTCTGAGATGCTATTCCTACTTCAGAGCTCTCAGTAGGATCAGACCCAAACTAGACTTCAGGTAATACTACATCTTAATTAGCTTTCCCCTGTCATATCCTACTTCTGCCACTCTCTTCCAGGATTCTCTTGAGAGCACTATTTCAATAAACCACTTGCATAAAAACTCCCATCTCAGGGTCAGTTTCTAAGGAACCCAACCCAAGACATGCAAGACAATAGGTAAGGAGAAAATAAATAAAATAAAGCTTAGACAAGCACTAAAAATAGAGCCCAAAAATTTGAGAGACAGATTTTATTCTGGGTGTTAAATGCTATCTGATCTTTCTGCAGAAAGAATGCAGTACTTATTCAGTACTTATGTGTGGAAAGTTGACAGGGTGTGGATGGGTGTGGAGGTACCAGTAGCAGCTCAGTTGTGCTATTACCTTCTGCCCTTCAGGATTTTCAACATGTCGATTTTACTTATATGATCCTAAGTTTTCCCTTCTTTATGGTGAATATATAACACCTACCAAACTTGCAAAAATCATATGACTCTCAATCACCACGTATCTTGCACTTGATGTAAAACAAAGGGCATGCTTTTCTCCTTTTGGAAGCCACATATTTTTTTTTCAAAATATGTATTTAATGTCCATTCCATCAAAATCAAACAGAACTACATTTCAGAAGTACTATATACATATAGTATATGTATATATTTTTTTAAGGTGCATTTTCAAGTTTTATCTTAAACTAAAAATCCAGAGGCTTTTGTTCACACTGTATCTTCTATCTGGAACATCTTTTACCATATATCAAAATGCCCATATTTTACCCACATTTTAAGTCCAAATTTCAAGCTCTGTAAAAGATTCCCAAATTCCCATGGCTAAAAGTAATCATTCCCTCCTCTGGCACTTTTTCCATGCATTATATTTATTTGTGTTTAATTCATATCATCTCTACTAAAATTCCCTAGGGCTAGACAAATGTTCTGCTCTAAACTGTATCATTCCTTGCCTCCAGCCTTATGCATTGTTCATCAAAGACATGAACAAATGAGGGGCTGGCCCAGTGGCATGGTGGTTAAGTTTGCACGCTCTGCTTTGGTGGCCCAGGGTTCACAGGTTCAGATCCTGGGTGCGGACATACACACCACTCATCAAGCCATGCTGTGGTGGCATCCCATGTACAAAATAAAGGAAGACTGGTACAGATGTTAGCTCAGGGACCATTTTCCTCAAGCGAAAAGAGGAAGATTGGCAACAGATGTTAGCTCAAGGCCAATCTTCCCCCCCAAAAAAAAAAAAAAAAGAACGAATGAATGAGGAAAGGTTATTTCCGTGGACTCTTGTTTCCTTTTTTGATAAAACTTGTACAAATAAATGACTCAAAAAATTTTAAGAAGAATTAAGAGAATAGCAACTCATGTACAAATACATGATTTTAAGGATTATAATTAATATACCAACCATGAATATGACCTTTTATTTGATTTTTTGAAAGTTCTTCAGTCACGAGGGGTGTTCCCAAATTAATTTTCAAGCAGCTCTTATAATAACAAGGCACACCTTATGCTTTACAAACTCCTAAATGCCAGTTTTCAGAAAGAATTACCTAAAGAGCTTGTTAAAAATACAGCTACTCTGGCCTCACACCTGAGATTCTGTCCCATTAGATCTGAGGTGGGATGACAGGATGCTTAGCCAGATCTGGGGACGGTTTCTCTGCTTTGTGCCAAGAATTCTCAGGGCAGCCCCAATTCTCTCTGTCCTCCTCTGTCTAGTTCAAGGCCTAGCTTAAGTCATACCTCCCTTTTAAGAAACTTTTTTGACCATTCCAAATCTTTGCCTTCTCTTTTTAAACATATATCGTTGTGGTGGTAACTGCCCGAATAAAAACAGATTAAATACATTATTATTCACTATTTCGCTTATTTAAGCCTTTCACTCCCTAACTTCGCTATAAGTTCCTACTGGGGAAACACCAATGAATCCTTACTTCCATTCTGTCTCCAGAGTGCTGAGCCATTTTATGTATTTTGGATTTAATAAATTATTCTTTGTTTAGGCCAAAATATTTTAAAACCTTACAATTACGGAAATAAAGACTATGAGAAGTATTGAATCAGGTCATTTTTTTAAATGAACATTTATCAATGTAAGGCTAAAAGGAATAAGCGAAAGGAACACTGAAGGGCAGAAGACTTCCCGAGAGAAAAAGCATCTGTTTTAGACATAAGAGGCTACACCTTTGTTTTGGTCAACTTACTACAGTGAGCAATAGTTACTTTGGTAATTTTTAAAAGTTCAATAATAAATTCAATATCACCTTGCCCCAAAATAAAGACTATAGGCATGGAGACTGATACACAACTTAGGAAGAATGGATCACTTTAGCATTCCAATATCCTATGACATCTGCATCAATTCACAAGCACAGAGATATCAATTGTTACCACTCACACGAGGGTCTCTGAGATCTATACTGAATAGGAATCCCCCAATTCCACTTGCGTCAGTCATGACTAATCCTGTGTAGTCAGGGAGACAGAGAAATTCTCTCAGAGCCCTCCTTTCTATGGTCTTTCTAACCTAAAGACTTGTGTGGAAGCTTCCTCCAGACCATTCCCTAAATATCAGCCATTACAATAAAGTAGTTAGATTTGTTTATATGCCCCATGAGCCATCTCTGTCAAGCAACAGGCTCAAGAGTCAGGTAGTCCGTTTCTCCTCAGGATGGGATCAGGGGCTGGAATGGAAAATATGGTTAGTCAGAATTATTGCTACATATAGGTATTGCCATAATTTCTCAGTAAAAGTTTTGAGGTTCACTCTAATTAGAATGGCATAGGTCATATTCCCACCCTTCTGTGAAGAAGCATGAATGTTCTGATTGGTTTAACTTGGACCTAGGGGTGATTTCAAGTTCCTTGAAAACAAAAAATAGAACTATAGATCACAAAATGGAAATGAAAGGCTGTTGGAAAGAGGAAAGGGGAGAAGAGATGAAAGAAAAGAACATCAGTTAAGATTAGGTTCAGCTGCAAAGGACAGCCAAAAATAATGAATTAAACAAAATAAAAGTTTATTTTTCTCTACATTAGAGAAGTCAAGAATAGAGAACCTTCAAAGGCTGACTGGGTGACTTCACAAAATCCTCAGAGTTCCAGAGACTTTTATCTTGGTGGTCTGCCATACTTAGTCACATGGCCATACCTATCTACAAGGGAATCTAGGGAATGAAGTTTTTATTCCAGGTGACCATATATCCATTTAATAATGAGGTGTTTTCTATTTCTTAGGGGGGAAAAAGGACATACATTGGGGGACAAATAGCAATCTCTGCCTGTGGTGTACGGACTCCTAATGTGACTCTCATGATTCCTATCACCTTATGTTCATACCCTTGTGTAATGCCCTCCTCTTGAGTATGGGCAGGACCTGTGACTTGCTCCTAAGCTGCAGAATATGGAAAAGATGATGGTATATAGATGATTAATATACATGATTATGTTAAATAAGATTTAGCGTTTGTCTTGTAGGAGTTTTTTTCTCTCCTAGTGATGGTTGTGAGGAAGTAAGAGGCCATGTTGGGAAACCCCACACGGCAAGGAACTGAGGTGGCCTCTAGGAGCTGAGGGTAGCCTCTGGCCAACAGCCAACAAAAAATAAAGCTTTCAGTGCAACAGCCACAAGAGCAAGGAAGGAGATCCTTTCCTGGTTGAAGCTGTAGATGAGAATCTAGTCCTGACTAAAACTTTGATTGCAGCCTTATGAGACCCTAGGCAGAAGACTCAGCTAAACTGTGCCCAGATGCCTGATGCACAGAAACTAAGATAATAAATGTGTGTTGTATTAAGCCACTAAGTTTGTGGTAATTTGTTATGCAGTAATAGAAAACTAATACACTGACAAGGAAGGCAACCAAGAGATGCTCGCAATACTGCATAAAAGGCCTTAGTCCCTAATATATAATACGTATTTAATTAAAGTTAGCTGCAATGATCATCATCATCATCATCATCATCACCATCAGTCATCATTTCCTATACCTGGATTCCTCCAATATCATCATCACATTGCCTAGCAAGGAATAAAATCCCAACAGGACAAACAGTTCTATTCATGTTACTTCTAGACTTTTTGGAAGCAACCAACTTTAAAATCTAATTGGAGTTGAATTTCCATTAGCACTGCTCTGGTGATTCAAGTATATCCATCTGCCACTCCATTCCAAGAACTTGCCTCTCAAGGATACAACAATCTCTTGGTCATGCCTCATTGGGGAAGAATTGAAAAGAGTAAGACAGGACATACTACTCTAGGGGTTCAGTTAAGAATTGCAGGCAAGCCTACAGAAAATAGATCCATCACTCTGTGGAGTCAGGCTGAGGAGAAAAGAAACAATTAGCTAGAGGTTAAGTAGCAAAACAGCTGCTAGAAGACTTAGGTAAAAATGTCATGGAATAGGAGTAAAACATTGGAAGAATAATGTGGGAGTGAAAGTTATCAATTGCTTTGAAACCTGAATTTACGCATTTTAATATTATCTAGCAGAGTCAATCTGAGCATCTGCTTAATATCCTGGTATGTGACAAGAATACCAAGAGGAATTTTTAAAATTTTTTAAAAGGAGAGTTTAAAAAAATCACCTTTCAGGGCATTTCAAGATAAAGTTTTTACAAGACCATACAAAACCTGAGCTATTTTAGATGGTAATGTGTTAAAGCAAATTAACGTCCCCTAAATCAAGCAAAGATATCAAAGCTAAGCCATTACATATAATGGAGTGAGGCAGAAAAATAAAATCTACTCTATGAAGTATATAAAACAAATAGAATTTGCTGTTATTAGACACCATAAAATAGTCAATAATTCAAAAGATGATTAAAAAATAAACAATATATTAGTAATAAAATGCAACATGGGGAACATTCTAATAATAGATTTTGGTTTTTGGCTTACAGCAACTCAAGAATCTTAGAGGGAATATGAGGAGAATAGCTATTACACCAAAAACTACTGTAGTTTTTGCTTATGTTTATTTTTATAGGAAAAAAGTCATGTAAAACAGCACTTTTTATAAGGAGTAACAAGTATCTGAAAATAATGAAAAACAAAAGCATGGAAATGATAAAAATAGAAATGAAAGATTTATCCCAGAAGTATGTGGCATTAATTGATAGAAGATGTAAATTTTTAACTACTGTAATATTGACAATGATTTTTAAATTCTTGGAATCAATTAAGGTTTTCTTTTCCTATGTGTTTTATATTCCTGTTCTATAAACATGGTGTATTAACCCCCAAAATACTAGTGAATGTACATGGAAAGTATTTTAACATTGTTCCCATGTAGAAAATTCTATTTCTACAGTATTGTTTTTCACTTTTTTGCTGCAGAATCTGTTACTATTTCTGACATCAGTGACAGGAAAATAACAAAGTAACTATCCCAAAGTTCCTTCTCATTGTGGAGTCAGCTTTGTACAAAGATATATATGACTATGAAGCAAGACTGTAGGGACCATTAAACCTCATCAACAAATATCACTAGTCATTATGGAGGAGGGGGATGAATGAGAAAATATAATTGTTAGTGGTCTCAACAGAAACAATCACCATGCAATACACATCCTACCAATGGTAGGTCAATAATGTCATCCATAACCAAAAGCCATGGTATTACCTTCCTGTAAAATATTGGCTTGACAAAGGGAGAGAAAGAGAGAGAAAAGTCTTCAAGTTTTTTTTCCTCTAGATTTGGTTTTGTTTGTTTTGTTTTTCACTTTCCACTAAAGAGGTATGCTCATGCTTAAATGAAAAACCTTCCTAATGGAGTGAACTATGAGCCAACTGAGGACACATTAACTCAAAAGTGACTATTACAAGGTAACTGAATAGGGTTCCTTTTTAATATATTTTTTCTCGAGGGAAATAGTGTGTCCACATTACAATAGAGAATGTGGGTTTCATTGGTGACTATGGAGTTCTAAATAAAACACTCATTTTAATGTTTATTTTTGATGACTTCTAGGAATTTACATTTTTTCACCATTTTTATAATCAACCCATAAACAAGAGGATCTGATGGTATATAATAGTTTGTTGTAAAAATGTCTTTGAAATATTGTGAACAATTCTTTTATGTAGAATAGTGACCCAGATGGAGGATAATGTTAATATATCAATATCCAAAGGGAAATCAGAATAGACATTAAAGACTTACCCTACAGAAGAAATCAAGGCAGATTTCTGGATCTAGAGATACTGACATATTTTTAACAAAATAAAAATATTTTCTTATTACACCTTAATATTTATACTGAACTAGAGTTGACGTGAAATCTTCCAAACTCAGTCTATTCTTCCTCACTCTTGTGTTTTCTAGTTTCTAACTTAGTTCTACCAGGAATATCATCCTGCACCATCTTTTTTGCCTTGCAAAACCTTACCCACCCATCTTTTAATGTCCAGTTCAATGCCCATTTTCCATGATGTCTTCATCCTGATCACCACACTAAAAGTGATCTTTTTTATGGGAGAGAGGCTATTTGGGGAAATAATCAAAATGAATTCCAGTGGCACCATTTCACCAGACTACCTTGTGTTATGACTATTTCTTCTTTATGTGCCTCGTTTTGAGGGTAAAGAAGTAGTAACAAGGACACTACCTTGCAAACTATATTGAAAAGCATAATAAACGCTTATTGGACAAGAGAATGAATGAGTAGATAAAACAACGGAATTATTAGAGAAGAGGTAATTTGTTCAACTGTGCACTATTAATGCTAACTATACTAGGAACGCAAAGAAGGGAGAGATATATAAAGGTTAAAGTAGTTTGGCAGGGCATCATGGGGACATGAGCTGGAGTGGGTAAAAGACATTTTAGGCATTGGCATGAGGGAGGGCACTAAAGCAGGGCAGAATAACACATAAAGTCAAAGTGAGGAATCTAGCCTCTCTTCTAGGATGTGACCTTTCCCAAATTCCACCATGAAAAATTTACAAGGTTGTTTATACACAAGGAAACTCAGAATCTCTTCTTTGAAATGTGAACTTTCCAAAATAGGCCAGCAATCAAAACCTATCAGAGAAACCATCTAGCTAGGCCAAAACAGAACCAAAGGAAATATGGAGCACTCATAGAATTTAAGAAATGCACTGGGATTGCTACAGGCATTTAGAAAGTATTATGCAATTTAGAATAGTCTGTGAATCACAAGGGCTGTTCCCCTTTATACTTAATAAGGTACAAGGGAGTGGCAGCTATGCCCTAACTCAGATGTAATCTGGAAACTCATCTTAATGAAAGTTTAGTTGCTAGTAAAAATTTAGCTGAAATGATGCCTTATAATTCTGCATCTTCCTCTCAAGAATACTTAAAATCTACATCCTGGGTTTTCAGATGTGACTAAAATAGCCAGAGGGTTTCTGAGGGATACCTATTATACCATAGTAAGGTAATTTGCTATTTCAAATGGTAATGATGACCAATTATGCTTTGGTACTGCAAATACTTAGAGTTGACAGCAACGCTCTGGAGAAATTTTGTACACTAGGTTCCAAGTTTCATAATGTCTTTCTACCAAATATTTTGAAACAAATTTAACATTAAGATTTTCAGTACGCTGAGCTGTCAATCAAGCTTTAGTTACCTGGATATTGCTCTTTTAAAAAAAGCATAGTGCATTACTTACCCATGATCAGTAACAGGAGGCATGTCCAACCTAACACCCCTACCAACAATCTACAGATATTTTGCCATTTTGCAATGGAGAAAAAGCTTAATTTTCTATACAGCATGAATAAGCCTTTCAGAAAGCAATTTCAAAGCAGATTTCCGGAAGCAACTTCTAAGGGCAGCTGAAAGAATGATGCTTTTAGTGTGCTTTGATGACTATCAAAATTCGAAAATTACATAAATACGTAATAACAAGTAAGCATTTCTAACCTGGGCCTGCATAAAATATTACCTTTCCTGGAGAAACTAAAAGAAAATTTGAATGGTATTTCATCAGCACTTTGACATTTGAAAACTGTAGCCAATTACAAACGTTTTTTTGGCTCAATCTTTTTTTGTCTCCACATTAAGAATGACATTTTTATTTTTATTTTTTATTTTTTTATTTTTTGTTTATTGCAGTAACATTGGTTTATAACATTGTATAAATTTCAGCTGTACATCATTATACTTCTATTTCTGCATAGATTACATCATGTTTACCACCCAAATACTAATTACAACCCAC